TCGTTAAACAGCTAACGAACAAAATTGGACTTTTTCTTAGTTGGACTTCCAAATAATTATATGAAGAACACTAATTGATAAATAATATTTAGTTTATTAGTTGGCTTAGATTAGCTTAATGAATAATTGTGTCAAGATCGCCATCATTGTACGTTGATGTGCGAAAAGTTTTCAAATAAATTTATAAATTATAGTTATAACTTCCATATACAGTTATAAATTAACAATTTTATGCAGCAATAACCACAGTTTTTTTATTACCATTATTGACGAGTTTTACGTAAAATAATAGGACGTTTTCAGACGTTGTTTTTGTTTATGGGGTTGTTTATTTTTGGGGTCATTGACTTTAATTGCACGCAGGAAATTTAATAACGGAGCACAGACGGGCGTCTAGCTTTTAATGACCCAAATTAAAACGTTCATTTTATTTTTAACCAGATAGACTTGAGATGTAGATTAAAAAAATAACTTCAGCGATAAAAATAATGGGCAGTGTCCATTCGATGCAACTTTCTCTTCTATATTTTTATTCGTATGTCCGTTGGGATACTAATTGTGTTTCATATTCTCTTCGACGTAGAGCAGTGTTCAGTGTTATGTCACCTAACATTGTTCCAGCAATAATAGTAAAGTTTTTGCTATCAAAACACCCAGTTTTGGTTTAGGAAGATCTATTTAAAATTTTTACTCTTCGCCATTTACGAACATCGTCCATGGTGCCAGGAGCCGTAGATATAACCTAAAATTAGCTTTGACGCGTTGAATCTAAAACATAATGACGTTCTAAGAATAACCAGGTACTCGATGTCGTAAATGTCGTCTACGCGCCTTCGAGTATTGTTGTATGCCATTAATATGTAGCCACGGATACTATATACCAGCTTACATGTATTTATAGATTACACGTGTTTATAGAAAACTTATGCCGCCCAAAATCCATCAAGCCTTATTAATCCTTAATATACGTGACATGACGTGTGCCGTCGTGTAACGGAAACAAGTGAGGGACTCAGATTTTCGAAAACTGTATGTTACTGGGATTAGAATATTCGACTTCATATGTATATAAAAGACTGCCTTAAAGCGTGGTCTCCTGACGTCATAAGTCAAATATTTAAAACCAGATTACTACTGTCAGTTCAGTCTGTAGATGAGGAAAATGTACGGTTGGTGGCAACTGAGATTTACTATTACTAATATTATATACTTACTATTTCCTAACATACTGAATAGTAGCTTAGGAAATGGTGAAATCTTAGCGTTAACTGTTACAGTGTATTCGAAAACGTTACAATGTCTGTTACAACAATAACATAACTCGGCGTAATTGGGTCAGGTACAGCTTTAATTTTTGTGAATAAACACGACGAAACGCCACGTGTGCCGTTTTATGGTCCATTAATGTAATACTGTAATAACTGCAGAAAATGAACGCGTGATGTTTCGTTATCAATCATATTATTTTAGCGCGTTCGGGCAAAGTGTTTTTAGGAGTTTCTCCATAAAATGTATTAAGCATAATGAAGGGGAGGTGGCGTTTAGAATTATTAACGATACAAATTATTATTTATATAATTTCAATAAAGAACTTATTTTGTGACCGCCGCGATCGGAATATTTACGAGCTTTTATAATCAGTATAAATAAATACAGCTAATTTAGGTGAGAGAAAATAATGTAAATACAACGGAGAATGAAACTATGTAGACAATCGCTACATATATTTAGTAAGTGTTAGAGAGATTTCTAGTTAGCAATTAAATTCCCTTGATAAAAGTAACTAGAAGTTGGCAGCGTACTAGACAAGAGTTATGGTGTCACAATGTTGGCAGTGCAACGACGGGCATCCTGCCACGCATGGGTTCAATGACATATAGTGCGTATAACCTAGCCTAATTTTTAGTGCATTTATTTATAACAGATGCATGTTATATAAATATACTATTTAAGTACACACAATTTTGTTTTTTGACCACTCATTACACAATATTAAACTTTTCAATTTTTTCTTATACATAATGTATTTTTTTAAAATAATATCATCATTAAGAAAATGGAAAATATATGTTAATACATTCTCTGGGCCTGGCCAACTGTATGATAAAATTTGTATTTCATGTTTAGTATAGTATTAACTATACCTATTCAAAGTTTATATTAAAACGTAAATATGAAATGTTTTATTTATCTTTTCTGTAGTACTGAGAAACGATAGCTCCGGGCGCTCGCTTTTAATTATTTTAAATATAGTCGAGTAGTCAGAGTTAAAATCTCGGTGATTGCACCGATGAAATTGTTAAATCCAGGAAACCTGCATATTTTCAAAATAGTAATAAAATAGAGTTTTAAACATGTATGAAGTCTGGTGGTGGTCTTGGCTGTGGGGTCGCGTGGAGGGCTATGCCCTAATACCATCTGCAGGGAGAAGTCCTTTCTGTGTGTTCTTCCACCAGTAAGATGTATATAGAACTTCTTTTTTTTTAGTTAAATTAGTAAGAGTTCAAAACTGCAAACCTGGCATCATTGGCTGTCTGCATACATAACATACTTTTCAATATGTAGAAAGTGGTCTAATGGAAGTAACTAAATGGTAAGAAAATAATTTACTTACAATAAATACAAAAAAAAACAAATATTTAGCCTTCTATAAAACAGCACACTCAAGACATCCACTAGATTTGAGCATTACTGTGCATGTAGCTCCATGTAATAGAATCTCGAATAGCACAATCTACAAAAGTTGTAATTGCTCTATCATAGAAAAAACTAATAATATTAAATATTTGGGCGTTGTATTAGATGATAAATTAAATTGGGGTAATCACATAACCAAATTAGCTAATATACGTCTTCAAAAAAGGCAAGTCGCTAGCTTAAAGCTCCTGACAAAAACATACAATGCTCTTTGCCATTGTATAATTGATTATTGTATTTGTTCTTGGGGAGGAGCTTCAAAAACTTATCTCATTAAAGCTGAACGTGCTCAGCGGGCTATACTTAAAGTAATTCTTGGACTGCCGTGCAAACATCCTACCACTGAGGTTTATGCGAAGTCTCGATTACACATCACTAAATGAAACTACCAAAAACTCGAATTGAATGTAAATCATAATAGAAATATTTAGGAACGAATGAATGACACTTTATGAGTGAATAGCTAATAATGATTTAACTTAATGTTTTTAAATAATAACTTCAGTATGTTGTTTTTATTGTTGTTAATTTTTTTAATTGTAGGTATGAAATAATAATAAATTCATACTTAAGTAAAACATTTTTCTAGTTTCTAAATTTTGTAATATGTTTTATAATGACAGCTTTAAAAGCGCAATGGTAGTAAGTAATGTAAAAAGCGCTTTTTATCAACGCCTGATACATAATGGTTAATAATTGTCAAATTAAGCAATTGATGAGTAGTATCAGGCATCCATTCTCATGAATTTGTTATTTGATGGAGGTAATCTCATTGTGATTCGGAATACAAATCAAATAGAATTTCTTTATAATGGAAAACTGTGCGAAGATCCACGTTGTTTAATGGCTCGCCTTTGTTTCCAGTCGTTGGTTTTAATGGTGCCTACGGATATTTCATTACAGAATGGAGTGAGATGTCAATGTTAACGCGTTTAGATTTTAATTGTTCGATGAAAATGATACAACTCTGGTAAGAGACAATAAAGTTTATTAAAACCCAGTTTAAAACATTCATGATACACATATATATAGTATATATCATCTATATATCATAGAAATAACTAATACTGAAAAGTAATAAGTTCATCAGGAAATGAAAATTAATGAAATCACTGTTAAATCCGAATTACATACATTTATTTAGATGAGAATGAGATGAACTATGATTTTATGTAATATTACATAAAAAAGAAAGAAATCGATATATTAGACCTTTACTTTTTATTCATCTTTCCTGTAGGCGAAATAAATTGTGAACAGTAACGTTTGAATAGTATTGTACAATACTTGTTTCGTTTTATTTATTAACTTTGTTTCTGATTGTTTACATGTGTTTGCCTTATTGATTGATGTCATCAGCTGTGTCAAGAACGGTATTCTTTTGGAATAATTATGAAAAGGGCTGCAGACTTTATATATACTCGTAACTATCGAATTAACCTTCCACAGGAATGGCACCTAAACTCGTGCGATCGCTACGCAAACATGTTATCCGGAAGTCGGACAACTTTACTTGCAGGCGGGATCTGTTAGCGAATCGCGTGGTTTTTGACTATCGTAAACTCGGGTGTTTGGCGAAAAAATGTTTATAGCTACAGTGGTGTGGTTAACATTATTCATCCAATAAAAATCCGTTGCTGCTAAGCATCAGACGCCGATATTTACGTTCCGCGTGATTAATTGCATCATTGTTCCAGGCTGGTGTCTGAGTGATGCCTACTGCTAACGGGGGGGTTTTTATGGATTTTTTACGGCCGAAGTAAATAAGGCGTAAGATCATTATGCAGTCGCGTTAATTCTGCCTGCAGTGTAGTCGCGCCCGCCACGGGAACCACGCGCACACGCACGTTTGTTGCGTCGATCTTCTCGCTTTGTCGTCAGTCTGGTGATATTGTTGACCTACACGGCTTCGGTCGTTAGCAGTTCGATCCAGTAACGTGAAACAGGTCTCTCATATTTTCCTGTTCATACATCGTACTATTGTATTGTAAATATTTTTTGTTATTATAGTGATTGCGTTCATTAAGATGTACGATTTATATTGATTATACAAATATACATTTTTATTTTTAGCGATTGTTTTCGTATAATTTGGTGTTTGTTAGGTTCGGATGAATTTTTCGTTTGATAGATTATAAATCATTCCAAATTTTGCCATTTAATTATGTTGGCAAACAGTTGATTAGTCGTTGATTTGTTAAATTTTTAATTTTAATCTTATGAAGTATTCAACTGGCCGTTTTTCAAATAGGGAAGAAATGCGAAGCGTATTTATTGACATCGAAATTTGCTTTCCCAGTGAAATGAACCTGAAATTGAATAACGAGATCCAAGGCTCCGTCGGTCTGCTGCAAACGGTACCGGTGTCCTCCGTAAAGGTAAACGCATCATAGAACTCTGAAAAGCCGATGCATGATTGCACTAATCTGCTCTTTATAACCGACAACCATTAGTTAAACAGGCGATGTTTAAATGTTTTAGGCGATAGACGCGATTAACGGTTGTAGAAAGTTTTTCGCACGTTACACTAGATAGCGTGCAGATGGGTGAAGCGCGATCCACGAATATGTATGTTATTTGTGAGGTTTTTTGTGTGAGAGTATGGAAAATTAGCAAGCTATTCACTTGATGTAAAGTTAACCACCGCTCATGTATATCTACAATAACTGTAAGACTGGAGACGATCTATTAAAAAAGTAGCCTCCGGGCTCGCTCATCAGACAAGTCACAAAAGTATAACACTTCTAATTCACAGCGGTAGCAACGAGCCTACCCATTTGCGGAAACCAGTAGAACTTGCTTAACTTTATTACATTACTCCATAACGTGTGGAAGTAGAATTGAAAGGGTTTTTGTTATGTATGTTATATATTTATTGTACAAAAAACACAAGATACAAAAAAAATATAGTGAAAATGAAAAGGTGAAAAGGTTGCTGGAAATGTGTTCACACAGTTATTTCTATAACATACCCTACATAAATATATACATTAATATATATACATAAATATATCTATAAATAAATGTAACTATACGTAACGTTTTAATAACATTCGCATCATTTTAATTTAAACGGTGGTAGGGCCACGCAGCAGCCTCGACTGTTACACGAATGGGCAGGCCCGTCCGGGTAATTACCACGACCTCACAGAAGACCGGCGTAAAGTGGAAGTATGACAAATACTTTCGCGTTTCGTCTGGTGAGTGAGGTAGCCGGAGCCCAATCTTCAAAAGTTTGTCAACGCATCTGTAACCCTCGGGTGTAGCAGATGTCCATGGGCGGCGGTATTCACTTACCATCAGGTGAACCGTCTGCTCGTTTGGCAAATTTTCACATAAAAAAAAATCATGATTTGAGAAAAACAAAAAATACGTCAACGATCAGTATCTGAAATAGGAATCTACAGCTCAGACATTGAAATTATAATTGCTGGCTCTTATTGGATTAAAAGTTTTATCTTTTACTGGATGTGTGTCTAGTTAGGCTGGCCTGTGCTCTATATGGATTATAATTGTGCTGTATGGGTCGGATGTTCATTACTGAATACTATGTAGTTACAAATCGTAGTAAAAGCTAAAAGAAGTAAAAACTAAAAGCCATATAATAATTTAGCTAAACTGTCTGTTGATATAAAACATCATACACTTAGCATTTATGATTATATCGTACGTGTTTAGATGTTTTGGATGCGTTTAATGATAAAATCAACAGAAAATAAGATGTGATAATTGCTTTCAATGGAGGTTTTGTATTGTTAAAAACAGATATAAGTATTTAAATCGTAACACTACTGACGCACGATTCACAACTCAATCGTTCGTCGAAATTGAATAAAAAAAAGGTTAAACGAACCTAAAAATGTTTGAAAGACAAACAGCTCGGTGAGTTTTTACCTATACAGAGTAGAGCGTGCAGTACCGATATTCTATCCCGGCACGCAATTAAATGGCACAAACTTCATAAAATACTTCAACCACGTGCTGAAAGTTTACGCCCACTTATTTCCATCTTCGATTGTATACAGTTCTTTTAGTTAAATATCTTTCGTAGTAAAGGCACGGCTCTCCTGCGCGATACTTGTTGCTCTTAGTAGACAGTTTTGGTTTCGAGAGGATTCTTTTGAATGTGTTTTTTTCGAGAACAATTCTTTTTGCTGCGTTTATTATCAGCAGTGAACTTTATCATGTTTACATATGTACGTATTTTCAGACCTGGTACTGAAGAATTTTATTTCAAACAGCTCGTGAGTAAATGTGAATGTTCTGCTAATCGTGTCCGTTTAACGTGATTTTTTCTCTAAACAGAAAAAACAATTCTAATTGAGAATTAACAAAAGTTATATTCTACAAACGTACCAAACGTTGAGTCATTGTGAAATAAAAATTGTATAGAGCAATATTTAAAGCAAGATTCACTAATGTTGTATTTGTTGCGTGTATCGGAATTAATCCGTGCTTAGTCGTGCATGCAATTTACCTAGTAATAAGTAATTAATTGTGACAGTGAGTGCGATTTTTGTGGTATATGATCGGTTATAAGTAACAAACAGTTATTGATTTGATTTTAAACAAGCAAACTTAATCATATGATCATAAATAAGCTAAGTCAATGAAAAGAACACCTATAAATTCTCTCACTGTAACATGTAAAATCTACCTATATTAAAAACATGTTACCGAAAATGATAAAATTTTGGACAGCAATAGAACATTACCACAAAATCTTGAAAGCGAATTGTACTTCCACAGAAAAAAAAATTAAGGGTTGCCGTAAGCTGGAAGAATTGATAAGTCAAGGTTTTGTGTAAATATATTGTTGGCCTTATTTGTAAATTTTTAACAAAACGATAAAAGTGAAGAGAAAGAGGTACTCGTAGTGTATCACAAAAAAGGAAATCACTAATCTAAAGAAAAAATTAGAAATTACTAATGGAAGAAATAATGATAGAATTAACTATTGATAACAAATTGTGTGAACCACAGATAATTTGTTTCGGATCTGGGTGTTTCTCCACTTCAAATTTATGTATGTAAAACTTGCTTACAGCTCAGGATAGTGTTATCCTAAAGAAAAGGGCAAGTAATTGTAAGAGTAAAAAGTATGGAATCAGAAGAAGAAAAAGTAATAAAACCGGCCAAGTAAGAGTCGGACTAGCGAACGAAGGGTTCCGTACCATTATCTATAAAAACGGCAAAAAACCATGTTTGTTGTATGGAACTTAACTATTTTAGTATTTGTTGTTATAGCGGCAATAGAAATACGTCATCTGTGAAAATTTCAAATGTCTAACTATGACAGTTCATGAGATACAGACTGGGTGACAGAACTACCCTTTCGGTACGGAACCCTAAAAATGGAAAAAATCTCAATTTAGAATTTATAGGACTTTTGTAAGGGTATTTAAATAGGCTGGTGCCATCGCCCAACCTCTAGGCATAGATATCGTAAATTACTTACACAAGAAGGGAACCTAAGTATACAGTTTATTAAATCTTTTTTTATTAATGTGGACCTACACATAACCTTTACAAAGAAATTCCTTGAGTCCGTTGACCAGAAGCCACGGGAGCCAAGATAGTCAATATTAACGAGCAGCAAAAGGCCTAGTGGGGTTCCTCTTAGCCCCACCGTGGTGGACCACGCCACGGCTACAAAGACCCTCCGCCAAGGCAAGATGTAGTCTCTTCAAGTAGAAGTGCTGTAGGGCCACACGTACCATATTTGCTGTCGCACGAATGGGCAGTTCAGTCCGGGTAATTACCACGACCTCACAGAAGTGGAAGTGTTATATTTCTGCGTTTCGTATGGTGAATGTCGTAATTGCCGGGGCCCACTTTATTAAAAGGTGGCAGCACATCTGCAACCCTACGGGTATTACGAACGTCACTGGGCGGTGTTTATCATTTAACATCAGGTGAACCACCTGCTTGTTGCAAAAAAAATCTATTCAAAAGTTTGTACGCCATAATCGCCATAAATAAATATTTTTTATTGGAATATCGATTGCCGAATACTTAACTCAAACCTACAAAATTTAGTAGTATATATCATTAAATTTAGCAATACCTACTTTTACGGCGCCGGTGTCCACCGTAAAGTACTTATAATTTGCAGGAATACTTGCTACAAGTGTTTTATTTGATAAGCAATTATAATGTTAATTGTTGAGTAATTTAAATTATACATTCAAATATGAGGAAAAGGTACGAAAAGATTGTCGCCGCTGTGGGGAATCGAACCCACGTCTTCGGCATTCGCGGCCTGACGCTCTAGCCACTGAGCTAAACGGCTGATTACCACATCGACGAAAATCTTAACGTCTTTTTATACATTGTTTCTTAGCATTTGAAGCAATGCTTGGCGCATCCATTGTTATATCCTTTCCAGCATACAAACAATTTCGAGTATCGTTTTACAACGATAATTGGAACGAGAGATGTCGCCATTGCTTTTTTCAGAAATTTAAATTGTTTATAGTGCTAATCTTTGCACTTAAGATTGAACATTAAAATATGGAGAAAATTAAAAATATTCGCATCGTATACAAAAAGTGTAATTTTTTCTGCTAATGAAAAAAAACTTACTTTTTTATTGCATCTATATTGGTTTTACACATTTAAATTGAGGCACTCAAATCATTTCGACACCCAATTCGTGTAATTAGATTGCAATTGTCAATCTCTTTCCATATCATACGTTCTATATCAACTGTCACATTCATTTTTATTTATATTGTATATGTCACATAATGTAAAGCGAAACGATTTTTAAACGCCGCGTAGTATGAACATGCGTCATATATATTATTAAACATTATTGTCTAAAAACATATCGAGATATCCTTACTAATATTATAAACGCGAAAGTTTGTATGTAAATGTATGGATGGATGTTTGTTACTCTTTCACGCAAATACTACTGAATGTATTTTAATGAAACTTTACAATAATATAGGTTATACATCAGAATAAGACATAGGCTATAATTTATATACATATTTTATGTATATCTGTCTTTTTGTCTGAATTTTTTGCCTTCAGCCTATTCTACGCAGACGTAGTCGCGGGCAGCAGCTAGTCAGACATATTTCCAGCAAATAGTAGAGTTCAAGAAAATCACAAATGTCCGTTTAATTTTGCGTGTTCACTTCGATGTATATATCATTAGTGTCGTAATTCAATGGTCCACGTTAATTAATCAATCGATGTATTCGGAATACGAGACATACGGGAGTCATGAATTAAGGGTAAAGTTAACCTATAAGCTTATTTAATATATATAAATAGTTGAATGGCATACTTTAATTTGAATGCGCACCAAGCTTGGGCAGTAAGTTATTATTAGGTTAAATTATAAATTTACTAGATCACCCAAGCCATGTTCGCAGTATTATTGCATTTTGGGTATTTAAACTTTATGTACCTAATATTTATACGTGGGGACTTGAATATTACGTAAACATGTTTAAAATACGACAAAAATGTTGAAGAGCTGGCGTAATGTAATAAATAAACTACATAATAACATAACCATTTTGTACCTACTTAGTTATTTATGTATTGATTTTTCTTGTTTTTGTATGGTAATTTTACAGCAATATATTTTATAAGGATTTGTTTTGATTTAGCGAAGCTCATTGAACGGAATCTGATTGCATTTATCTTATTCCAATAAAAGGCAACATGCTTCTTTTTACTGAAATCTTTATCAAATTTTACAATAAAGACCAGTCGTAATAAATTGGGTTTTGATATTTCTTGAATCGCCCGTATCGGGAGGTTGTATCTATTCATATTTTCCTTAATTGTATCAACGACGATATTTGATATCTTTCGGACAATGTTCTACTACAAAATATGGACACGATAACAACATTAGTGAAATAAAGCTTTATTAATCTTAATATTTAGATAAATGGTGTTTTACATACTAACCGAACATAATCTATTTATATTTGAGAACCTGACTGCACAAAGATTTTATAAATGTATCGCTTTCGAACACTGATTCCTCATAAATTAACTCCCAAATAATATTAATTAAAACTCGTTTAAAGTTTTTCCCGGAATTTGGTCTTTGTGGATGGTAATAATGAAGAAATGAATCTAAACTGGAACGAAGGAAATTGAAACTTTTGTTTGTTGTTTTAGGAGGAACGGCAGCGAACGGGACGGTACATAGCGATATTGGTTGGCATCTCCTTGTTGCTACTAGCTATTTACCAAGCATGGGTACGTCGTATACCTGTAGTCGCAAGCCTGGTGGTGCCAGCTCTCATCATGTTCGTCTACGTTGGCTGGGTACTCTACACGGCGTCGCGTGATAAGCACAGGGTATTTATTTTATTTATTTGTTTTAGAAGGTGGCAAGAGCATAGCAAATGTTACCTGATAACCAACCAAAGGTTGCTGATACGTTGCCACCATTTGTGGGTCCCAGCTACATCAATCACCAGACGAAACGCAGAAGTATGAACTTCTACTTCACGCCGGTCTTCTGTGAGGTCGTGGTACTTACCCAGACTGACCTGCCCATTGGTGCAGCAATGAATATTGTTATGTGACTCTACCACAATTTTACAAAAAGGTATTTAATACATTTTAAAAAAACAGCTTGCAATGATTTCTTAAATATCTCGCATTGTGATTGATATATTGTTCCATGGTTACTTTTGACTGAAAACTACTCGTGGTGGAACAGTTGTTCCGTCTTTCGATGACTTTAAATGCTGTCAATGTAAATAAACTTAATATAAAATTATTAAGTTTGAAGTGAAGATGAGAAATCAAAAAATAGACCTAGACGTTGGTGCACAAATTTAGGATACCTACGAGCCTACGTCCGAAGATCGTAACTTACCGTCTGCAACTGGCACACTTCCTTCCTTTATAGTTAGTATATTTTTTTATGTTGAGAAAGTGGTAAACGAGCTGGCGGTTCACCTGATGTTAAGTGATATGAGTAATCATGGACATTTGCAACACCCATGGGGCTGCAGATGCGTTTCCACTTTTTAACAAATTGCCCCGGCTACCTCACTCACCATACGAAACGCAAAAGTGTAACACTTCTACTTCACGCCGGTCTTCGTTAGGTCCGTTCCGTTAAGGTCGTGGTACTAAGCCAGATGGAACTGCGAACACTGCACTGCTACCACAGTTAAATAAAACATTACGTATAGTAAATTAATTAATTAAATTTTTCTACAACACATACATTTCCTTAATTTAAAAACATCGTTGTATTGATCGATCTTGTACAAATGTGTTAAAACCGCATTCGAATACCTTTAATTAATTCATCAATAAGTTGAAAAGGCCGTAAGCGGAATAATATTCGTTTCAGATAAAGGCACGAACGCTGTACAAGAATTTGAAGAGTTTTTTTTTTTCTGGCTGTTTTAATCATAGCTTCTACTCCGGACTGGAAAATAAAAACATACAACGTACCGGTTGCTTTTCCTCTGGGTATTCTCTTAAAAGTCAATGCAGCGAAAGGATGTTGTTTGTTTATGATTGTTGATAGGTTTACGGTCTTTCACTTTATATGTGTATCGATAATTTAGTACATTTCATCCTTTACATTTTCGTTGTTAACAGATATACTTTCCATGATACTTTTTGCTTATGTAACATTTGGAAATACTCGGCCAATTATTAACGGAGACGAGCAGAGTGTAGTGGGAGTGTTGCAGTAAGTTTCATCTGCTTAGTAACGAAACCGGGGGGGGGGGGGGGGGGTAACGTACAAGTAGAAATTTGCCAGCTTTTAAAATTTCTACACTTGTAAGCATATTGTAGGTGTAATTACAAAACAAATTTCGTTAATAAAAGTCTCACAATTGTTGCTTTTTACTTACCTACTAATTCATTATGATTATCTTATTATTATAAAACGACTCGGTTAATTTAACGGGTTGGTATAACGTGCGTCAATTAGAAGAGAAACGGTCAATATTCTCTTTTTTATTTGAGGTTGAAATTAGAACGGCGTTGTTGAAGTAAGCAAAAGAACAAACAAGTTTGTGATTGCTCGGTGCTGACGCTCCGTTAAATTTGGAATCGAAAAATATTTCCACAATGAATTGCCAGCGGTGTTTTCTAAAAATCACTACTTTAAAAATATTGAAGAAGATTTGAATACAGTGGTCTATAATTATACACTGTAGTTAGAGTATATGTAGCCGGTATTGAACCTTTATAACCGGTGGCCGCGTACCTGAAATACCCTGACGGCACTACCCACATATTGATACGACGAAACCAGTACAATGTATGTTACACAAGGCATGCCCGCGTTTCAGGGTGGTTCTCGCCCGCAGTATCCTATATACCTATATACAGTCAACGGCCATCGGGGTCACGATCCGTACCTGGATGACCTTGGTCATATTCTGTCCCACTAGATAACGCATGCTTAGCACATTCGCCACCCTTCAAGCTCATGGGATCTCGCTATTCCACAAGTTCTGCATCCGACGGAGAATTAATAGTCTACGGGCTGGAAGCGAAAGTATCAGTTAAGGCGAATTATCTTTACGGCAATTATTTCCGTTACACGGGAGGTATAGCGATTCTCTCGACTTTGTCGGTGCTACCATATTAATATAACAAAACCCGCGGTGAAGTACGTAAACATACTGTCAAAGCCACGTCAATCGGTTTGGACGCGCGGTTTCACGCAGATGTTTACGTTGGGCTTAGAGAACAGACCGCCACTGACTCAGTAGCTATCATCTTGTTTACACGAATTATTAACCCTTTGCAGGACTTAAACATAAATAAACTTAACTCAATTTTACAAAAAGCAACATATTCAACAAAAGTTTTTGAATTGTCGATAGCTGGTAGTTGAATGCAGTTCATGATTTTTTACACGTTTTTATTACCTTGATATGTATGTTGTAACGGAATATAAATTGTATGTATGTAACGGAATCTTCCAACGTGATTTTGACCCATTCATTATGTTGAATCAAATTGAAACTGCACTGTTTCAATTTGACTCGACATCAAGGATCGATGACAAAGCAATAATTTAAATAGTTTGTCTCTTTATCCTTGATCAGGACTTTCAGGATAAGCGATTTTCTAAATACAGTTTCTTTGTGCCAAGTATCTACGCGTCTAAAAGTTAAAGATTAAAAAAACAGGCTTTTGTAGATAACCGAACAAAAAAGAATATATAATTTTCAATAAATTTGAATGAAGAATTTTTCCAAGGAAGAAAAGTCAAAGGTGCACAACATTTTTCAAACAAAAAAGAAAAACATTTTTAGAGCGTATTGAAAAGTTTCTTTCACGCTTAAATAAGTGTGATGAGGTGATGGGGGACAACATTGAAAAACAAATTTTATTCAGAATTTTCTGCTTATTCTTTCATGCATATAGATGTGAAACTGATTCTATATCGTTACTTATATTTATCAAATCCATTGTAATTACTTCGGAGGTAGGTATTTTTCTGGAGTTTGTGAAATAACAGACACATTATAAAAACTCATATCTGTACACAGGAGATATGTAGACTTGTTTTTCAGTCCATTTTCATTTGTTTCATTTTATAATCTAGACTTGAATGCATCTCTGAGAGAGAAGTTTAAAGAAATAAATATATTAACTCTGGCCTCTCAATTTATGAGAAAGTAATGTATGTACCTAGAAATATTAATAAATTTTATATATGTAACACGTACATAATGTAAATTCTAGGAACATAAGTTTGTAACGCCAGTTACTAGACTCCATAGAGTAAGTACATTGTTCATGGGGTGGTGTATACGCTTCTACAACTAAATCCCAGTAAATGCGCAAAGTCTGTCTATCAACAGGTTTAAGAAATTTATTGAAGAAAAACTTTATAAAAAGGGTCATTATAATATAAATGAATAAATTAATGACAATAACTCCCGGTAATGAGTTGATCGCTCCCAAGTTCTTTCTAGAAAAAAGAAAAAAAAACGGTTGTATGATATTTTAATTTTTTTAAGAAAAAATTATGACAAAGAGGAGGGTAGCTGCGGGGTTTCTTTCGCCTGTTTCTTCTCCATTAGAGGAACCTCTTTACGAAACGGTGGTAGATAAAAAAAGTGGATATCGATAGATGAAATGTGTTTCTTATGTCGATTAATAAATGATTTTGGTTTTGACGGTAGAGTTCATAACGTTGCACGATAGGGATATGTTTCATGCTCAATAAAAGATTAAAAAATAACATTCTGCTGCACTTAATTAAACCGCACTATGATAGCGCAACATTATAACATTATGAAGCAAGAATGAATATCTAATTATTATATCTGAATAAATTAAAAGTGAAGAGTTTCTAATTTTGGATTAAAATTTACTCAAATGATTTATTCATTAGTCTTCTCATATTGGGTTCAGAGAAAATAAACACCAATTTGATAAAATAAAAATTTGTTGATTTTATTGATAAATTCACTCCCCATCACGGCTTGATATGGTGAGATAAAGGACATAGGGACATTAGTGTTTAAGTAAACTATTTGAATCGTTATCAATTTTTCAAATGTGCACATCTTTTTTAATTTTCGCATGGCTATTTATTTAGTATCATTTTCTCGCAAATGGGGGCCACAAAATTTAATTGTCTTCGCCTACTCTTTCCAACCTTTTTTCGATCGTAAGTCACGCATTAACTTTTGGCTACTAACCAAACGGTCCCGGGGATAATCGATTTCGCCAGCGCTTTGTTAGTAATAAATACGAAACGCGGTCGCTTCCAAATACATAACAACTAAAACATTGGAGATTATTTGTTCTTCATAATGTCTACGAAGCAATTCGGGTTAGTCATCAATTCAAGCAATAGGCATATTTGCGTTTGAATTATGGATTTTGAATCAGGTTAATCAGTTTTTATATTGTTTGTATTGCAACTGTTTTAATTCTTCGTATGATTTCAAATGCAGTATTAGGAAATTTAATTGTTTGATTGAGATAATTTGTAATGGTCTACTATTTACAATTAGATTTATTGCTTGTATATGTAGTATTTACTTAAAAAAATTCTCGTTCTCAATTCTCGTGACACTTCTTTTGTAAGCAGATGACGACAATGATTATAGTGACAATTAAAGATTACATTGACGACAATGATTATATTGTCCAATTTTTCGTGATAAGGATAATAAATTATGAAAAAAAAAATAGATTAAGTTGTTGAAAATCTTTTCCGAAATGTAATGTGTGTGGAAAAAGTGTATTTCGTTATTTATAGATTTCATAGAAGTTAACTATTTGTACATGTAAATGGTAGTTTAAGATTCTTTTTTATTGCTAGTTTTCCAGAAACAGGCGCAACTCTTTTGGTTCAAACAAACTGCTGTATTTGCGAATACGAAAAACAGCTTAGTTCCGGAGCCGCGTCGTATTGAAACGGCTAATCAAATCGTAAATTTCTTGCACGGTAACATCAAAGTATAGAGCGGATTGGTTGGTAATGTTCTGCTGTAAACATTAATGTACGTAAGGCCGCATATTCTCCAACCGCAACCGAAGCATCTAAATAACACTGGAACAATTCAAATCCCTACGAGCCCTGTGTTAATAAATAAATAAAAAGTAAATATTTGTAATGTATTCTAATCAAATATACAGACGAAGGAGCAAAGTCATTAATAACTAGAAACATGAGTGCTATTAATGTCTGTTGTAGACATTTAGGTCACCAGTTCTTTTGACTCTACCTATTTTTCTGCAGAAAGATTTCTTCTCGTCTTCCGGCTAAAGTGTACATTATTTCTTGGTTTTCATATACTTCAATATGAACGGCACGCTAAATTAAAGTTATAGAAATATACTATATAGATCTAAATTAAGGCATTCTCTTTGCCATCATAACATCGTGCGCAAAGAACCCCTAGAGCTAGCGTGTAATGGAAAGCGAAACCAGATAAAAATAAGAAACCGAGATTCATGATACGCTGTCGTGTTTCACATAGATTATTACCATTCCAATACGAAATTTTTTCGGAGCTCACAAATTCTCCAATTTAGCTGCAGAGTCCATTTCTGCTGTATTAAAACGAAAATACATTTACACGTTTAAGAGCGGCGTAAATTGAAAGTATTGTACTTTCGCGTTTCGTGTGTGGGTGAGGTAACCAGGGTCCACTTTTTAAGTTTGTCGATGCATCAGTAAGCCATCAGGTGTTGTGGATTGTCCATGGGCAGCGGTATTCATTTAACATTATGTGAACTGCCTGCTTGATAACTTTTCATATTTATTCTCATTGTTTGAAATTTTATTATTCTTGCAACTTTTGCTGTAACTACCATTAACCACATCCTGGGTTGACTGGTAGAGAATGCCTTTGGGCATTAAGTCTGCCCTTTGTTACCTTGTTTTACTGAAGGTTGGCAATAAAGATTAAATGAATAAGTAAATAAATAAAATACATGTTAAGGAAACTCGATAGGTAAGTACAGAAGTACTTCCTACAGAAGGAGGAAGCAGTGATATAGAAACTAAAAATTCATTAGAAGAAATTTTAAAACATACGTCGTACACGATTTGCATAAGTCCAAAAATGTATGAAGAGCAAAAGACGAAGGCAACCCTATGGTCTTTCTTTTATTTCCTCGGTTTGCGGCCGGCGTAAAGTGCTTCTCAATTGCTCGTGACGTGTGTTCCTTAGTGTTATTCGGGCGATGGTTCGGGATAGCGCGTTATGTACAATTATGTCTATGCTGTCTAGAAAGTTTAAAATAACAAGTAAAATTAAATATTTTGAATAAATCCACGATGGTTAAAAAATAATTGAAAAAGGACAATATAATTTAAAAAATCCCGACTTAAAAAATAAATGTATTTGGTTCTCTATAATTGTAGTTGTGTCAATAACATATTCAACTACCTATAAACTTATCAACCCTATAAACCCTTATCAAACTTATATAAATTATCAACATCAACTTCTAGTTGTTAGAGGGTTCAAGTCGTTAGAAGGTTCGAAGGACACGGTTCGAAACGTTGGGAAATAAAATTTAAAAATAAATAATAATAAAAATAAGTTTAAATTAGGAAACAAGGTAAACAACGCCAAGAATAGTCAAATGCACGATAAGAACAAAGTAGAAGATTTTATTTTTTATAAACTTTGTAAAATATAATATGGGTTGTTTTAGGTGCATAAGTTATCAGATTAATAAATTTAGTTCATTGTTATAAATTAAAACTTGTTTTAATTTAAGCTCAAGTGTTCATAAGTAGGTATGTTAAATTTAGAATGAGCCTCAGACGCAGATTTTAGCCACTAGAAATTTTATTTACGAATTATATAGACAATAAAATTCATGAACTACATTTACTGTTCCCAGATATATTTTGCATCAGTTTACGACGTTTTGGTGGTTTTATTCTTTAATTCTACTCTGCGTTGAGTTTACATCAACATTTAAATATATATTTCCTGCTATTATGTTTGTAGCGGTTGTTAAACGAGAATTAATTTCGACGAATATATCCATTGTTAAGCAATATATTTTGTGCGCTAAAAGTTAAAATTCTTAAAACTTTTGCAGATACCGGGTACTAAGAATAAGTAAATAAAACTAGGCGTAATGAAGTTGTCATTAATATCGTTACAAAAAACTGAAATTGATGCATCGTGTTGATACGTTTTGATTTATAATCCGGACCAATAGGATTAGCTGCAACACAATTTAAATTGTTTTTTAATCCGAATTGTATTTTGTTCTAAATGTTATTATTTTATCTATTTCAGTTGCTTCATCTCCGAGATGCCGAGGCTGCATTGGCCGCGGCTAATGAACTTGCTGAAAACGAAGGACGTTGTTCACAACTGTCACTGTCAAACAACAATTTAGAGGCAACAGTGATGTATAGCAAAGACAGTCCAAAGCTTAACTCAACAGAATGTTCAATACACAAAGAATGGTCCAGAACGTCCTCTACTTATTTAAAAGAAGAAAACAAAAAGAAGACTGAAGAGAAAAGCGTTAGTTTTATAACGCCCATCATTCTGGTCAACGACAAACCACCCGAAGATTATGATCAAAAGTGGACTCATATTGTAGAAAATTTAACAAATAATGAAAAACTGAAGGGATTTTCAACAAGAAGAAGATATAAACGAAAATTTTGTAGGAGAAAACGGAACGCAGCGTTTAAAAGATCATATTCCATTGGTTGAAAGTAGAGTTAACTGGTTTTTAATAGGTGATAATATTTGAATTAATAAAAAAGAATTTGTAACGTGTGTATTTAAAACGCAATATATGTGTATGATTATTGGCAAATCCGAAAAAAAAAACCAATAGTAAATTAAATTTCATTAGAAGAACTTAGTCATTTGAAACTTTTATATAATTTAGATTAGGAATACATTTCACCTTCTTTTCGTTTGTACTCAGTTCTACAAAAGACATGATATGATGATCCTGTCTTTTATATAGGTATTTTCTTCTATAAAAAAATTTTGAAGAACTTTAAAAGAAGTTTATGTATATGTGCATGTATTCATACTATGATAAGGGAAGCTCCCCTGTTTGCAACTAGTACATAATATATAGTTTATGTACTAGTTGCAAACAACGGAGTTTCCCTTATCATAGTATGAATACATTTAATGCTATAGTTATCTGTACATGAGGTACGGGCTATACCTGTACCTCAGCATAGTTCAAGTCTCAAAATAATTTTACCTGAACATTTTAAGTTTCTTAATACACACGATATTGGAGTGCACAAAGAAAATAAAGTAATTCTACTTAATGGTGAGAGATTTGTCATATTATCAGGAGTGCTCCATGAAATTGCACTTTGATTTATTCACACCTCTTAGAAGTATTTTATAAGAGGTTATAAGCCGTCAATTTCAAGAACTGTATTTTTTTATATCTACCTGTTGAAAATCACAGAAGAATACGGCAGGGATACTACACTCCCTAAAATCAAATAAAGCGAAAATCATAATCAAATAAATCAATTCAAATGAAATAATGAAAATCAATAAAAAAACACTCGATTAAAAAGATAAATATTTGCATTTCAAAAATATTTTTGTTTTTTAAAGTATGTAATGTGATAAAGCATTAAAATATTACACTCGACATGTCACCGTTAACCGTTGTTTACAAAACGTAACTAGGTTTGCACAGATTATGCGATGTGATGTAACATCCAATCATAACACAAATTACATGTTCAGGGAACATCAAAGTACTTTGTGTGGAGGGTAAAGTAGTTCGTTGTAGTACTCAATTTGCTACAACGCGACAACGTATTTATCAGGAAACTAATTTTCTTTGTAGTAAATTCTTGTAGTAGATATTTATTCCACAACACAATGTTTTCCCAGTTTTATCATTGTATCGCAGTTTAATTTAAATTCAGGATAAAGGTTCATCTACAGTATAAGTACGAGTAAGTACTATTATACTATGTATGAACAGATATAATATTACTCTTAATGTAGGTGTATATGTTTTACTAGATTATAACTTTATTGGATCGTTTTAAAAGTATAGCAAAGACTAAAAGTTTTCACAGAATGCTTGCCTGGATACATGCAATGAGAAAATAATATTTATACTGTTTAGATAACTAAACTAAATGCGCCAAAGTCAATAGCTTAGCAACTGCACCAAAGAGCCATCATTTATTCATGCATTTCATTTCCGTCTAAAATAAGTATTTAATTTTTTTCTTGCTGAAAATATCAATTTAAATGATGAATTTTTGAAGCGTCGTTTCTCAAATCGTTTTCATTCGTGTAATAAACAACGCGTAAAAATACTCTTTCACACACCACGTGTGTATTCAAGCAACATTCATAAATGTTTAGACTGGAGTCAATTAATCCGTATGCTTTTAATTTACGCCATTTAAGATTATGATCGGTGTGGCTGTAAACATTTTTCTTACACGTTTTTAAAAAGTCCAAATAGTAAATGGTATTAAAATACTCGGTACTTGAGACGTTTGTATCTTTGAGATTATTTTTCTCTTTATTGTTGAATTGATTTCACTGTGGTAGGGCCACGTCTTTGCTGTTGCAGAAATAGGCAGTTCCGTCCGGGGAAGTACCACGACCTCACAGAACACCGGCGTGAAGTGGAAGTTTTTATACTTCTGCGATTCGTCTGGTGAGTGAGGTAGCCGGGGCCCAATATATTATAAGGTGCCAACGCATCTGCAACCCTTAGGCTTATTGCCAATGTCAATGGGCGGCGGTTATTAATTAACATCAGGTGAACCGCTGGGTCGCTTGCCACTTTCTCACATAAAGAAAAATGGTGTACAAGTGTACGAAATTAAATTTTGTCATAACTTTCGGAGACAAATATAAAACACCTGATTTACGTAGTCTTTAGAAAGGAAGCTAACATAAACAATCTCATTACCACAACTTGGGTTCGAAATCTAAATTGCGGTAATGAGACCCCCGTTTTACAAACGGTACGACCGACCGTTTAATACTTTTCTTTGCGTACAGCGGGAAAGCTCTCAGTAATATTAATTTACTCTACGATTTTGCTCAAATATTTAATGTGAGCACTTTAATAAAGTTTACTTAAGACGATTGAAACAAGTGTACACGCGTGCTAGTAGTAGTTTTTAGAATTCCTGTTAGATGATGATAATTATAAAATAAGACAAAACGTCAAACATGCACATAATTATCATCGCGTGCAGTCGTTTTATTAAAAAAATGTTTTGGAACAAATCGGCAACAAATATTAAGTTGTAGTTTTTTATTAAAGTTTATAGCTATCCATTGATTAGTGATTTAAATTGAAAATACTTGTACTAAAATATTATTGAAAGTGAGTCCGCCTTTAGTGTTTTTCTGTCACAATAGTTATGCAATAAAATACAAAGATTAAATAAAATAAAATAAAGAAAATGATACAAAAATTAACTTAAAAAAAACAACACAAAATTAATTATTAAAGCAAGCAACAACTTCGACCCTTGGCCGAATGGGCCGGCTGGTTCGGACAATTACCACGAGCAGACAGTGGACATTATCGAGCAACCCGGGTTCAATACCTGGTGCCGTCTCCAATGAAATTCTTAATTCCAATTTTAAGTTCTGACTTGTTCAGTGGTGAAGGACATCCTGAGGAATCCTGCGTGTTTTAGAAATAATAACCAAAAAATAGTTCGAAGATATGAAGTTTGCCAATCTGCCTGTGGTGGACTATGTCCTAATAGGACACATACATATAGGCTGTTACTTTGATTTACTTTACGTCTTAAAAATATGGCATTAAAATGACAGATGACTAGCTGTTAACCGCGGCTTCGCCCGCTTTGTTAAGGAGAATTAACATTGAGTTTTTTATTATACACTAAAATAGGTAGCAGATGGCAGAATTTTTTCCTATTTACCTGACACTTATCGTTATATTTTGGAGAATTCACTTATATCTTATCTTTATAAATTATAGCCTATGAGTTATTCTGTATAAGCTATGTTATATATACTATAGTAGTTTTTGTGTGAAAGAGTAAGAAACATTCAAACATACAAATTTTCGCGTTTATAATATTATTTATTTATTTATTTTATTTATAATTTATGTACACAGAGTTATGGCAGAGATGTAAATAGATGAAATAATTTGTACAAAGGTCCTGCTTATTTCATAAGAAATTTCTTCCAGCAGACCTGTGACTGGAAATTGGTTACAGATGGTAGTTAATTGTGTACATACATCAATTAAAATACACGTATATGCAATAATTATAAATATGATATCATTACTAAAATAAAATATATATAAATACAATAATTAAATAAATACATTAATATTAGTAAGGAAGATGAGAGCGCGATGAAATTTATACGGAATTCGATGAAAAATAAGTCATGGCTGGATTTATACACAAGCCATTACTAATAGACACTTTGTTAAAGTAAATAAAAAGAGATAGAATTCATTGAAACAAACTATTAACGCGCAATAAAAACGCGGTGATAAAAAGAAAAATAATAAGTTCATCCGCCTCGCAACCGGTGCGCAGTGGTATCAACGCAACTTTGAACTGCACAGCGATTGCGGACTCCCGACGATTCGCGAATTTTTCAAAGACCTGACCAAACGGTTCGTCGATAGAGTCGAACATCATCCCAACCCTGTGGTGGTAAGCGCAGCAAATAATCAACCCGATCCAAACGCGAACGTCAACAAGCGTCGCCCGCGAAACGTCCTCATCGACCCGGTCGAGGAAGGGGACTTAGGTACGTCGGACCCACCGTCGGGGGCCCCGCTGGATAACACTACACACACAGTTAGCGTAACAACAAACACATTAGTGCGCCCTCGCCTCCGAGCACGGCGAGACCAACACAACGCGTACACAAGGTACACCCGCGTTCCAGGGCGGTTCTCACCGCCCCCGGCCACCGATTAGCTAAAAACACAGTCGACAGCCATCGGGGTCTCGGTCCGCACCATAACCTCGATGGCTCTTAGATGGCATGCCGTAGTTAAACGCACGCATGAGCACATGCGCGGCCCTACGCACAGCGGAGGGCCCAAACTCGTGGGTTCTGGCTAGCCCACCGGTTCTGCGTCAAATAAAGCTTTAATAGTCTCGGGACTGAAAGCACAAACATCAGTTAATACAAGATACAAGATAAAAGAAAAATAAGTAAAGTAGCAGCCTATACATATCTCACTGCTGGGCAAAGGCCTCCTCTTTTACAGAGGGTATCAGGGCCCACCATGTGGCCCTATTGCGGATTGGCGAACTTCACATATCTTCGAAATATTTTATTTTTTTATTATTATTTCGAAAATATGCAAGTTTCTTCACGATGTTTTCCTTCATCGTTGAGGGTCGAAGCATCGTTAATAATTTTATTCTCATATTTTTTTTTGCAAAAGCGCCACAAGCAACTTTAAAACCCCGACTGCGTTACTGTATAATTTTTTATTTTGATATACCCAGTTAATACGAATCTAAAGACACCTCTCAACTTAAAATCCATTAAGCCATTCAGGCTGCAGAGCGGGCCAAACAATTATACATACCTACATACATACTCTCGAAAAACATAACCCTCCTTTAGGCGAGTCGGATAAAATACAGAAGATTTATGTTAAGATTTTTGCACCGTGAGGATGTCGAGCGCTTAGCTCACTTGGCAAGAGCTTCTGGGCTTTTTATCTAAAAAAG